GCTCTAAGACTCCCTGTACGTCCCTAAATCTTTCTGGGTTTCAGTGCCCCATCCCCAAGCATCCATCACCTCCTCCTTTGTTAGTATTAGAATCCCAACTTAGCAGTTGTGAGCCCAGAATAAAGACCAATATCTCATGCCACTAGGTGTAATGGACGTGTGGCCTTTCGTGCAAGGAACATTTTTGTTTTAACCATTCCTATTCCAGTTTTTCTGTGCTACATTTTCATGAGAAACCCTTTTGAGCCTTATAATTTTATGAAACCATACTATGAGAAAAATGCAAAATACCCTCTATCTTGGGGGACAGGGCCTAGGAATCTGAATTTGATGAGTTTCCCTGGGTATAAGGCTCCCTAAAGATTGAGGTTGAGCAGTTAGAAATCACTTCTTACCATCGTTTCCTAGTAACATACATATTCCAAGAACACGGAGCAAGAGATTTGGACATAAAAGGGAAGAATCATTTTTAGTGGGTTTCTTTTCTTTTTAAAAACATAGAGATGATTTTTTTTTTTTTTTTTTTGCTTAATGATTCAAGATGGAAACTTTTTTAGCAGAAACTCTGGCCGTAAGGAAGTCATCCCACAAAGGAGCGCCTGTGAGTTTCTAGCTTTGTTGGGGCTACAGTTTTGATCTCCAACCCCCAGCTCTCTGGCCTCTGGACCTGACACCTTCCCTCCATTCTTGGGAAAGCTATTCTTTTCCCATCATTGCAGGTGAAAATCCTCCAGCACAGCTTCAGGGTGTGAGACAGCAGCTGCTTGGTGGCATGGCTGTGGCTTTGATAGAGGAAGTGAAGTGCATCCAGTCAAAACAGCAAAAGGGGTAACCCAGGTCAGCAGCCTGCTCATTTAGGGGGCCGGAGCCGCGGAATGCTCCAAGTCATTCTGCGTGATGCACGTCACAGTTTGGAAGGTCAACCCCCCTGGGCCAGCTCACCTAAATCTTTGCCAGGACACAGCCATTTCAAGTGAAGCATGTCCGTGTCCTGGACCTTTCCAAACCAGTTATTCAGTAACGATGCCTTGGAGGACTGGCTTCGCCACTCCCCAACAAAAGAGCTTGTTAACTGCGGAGTCTATGCAAATGGTAATACCTCAAGTGGGAGGGCAGGAGGAAAACAGTGGTTAAAAGGTAGAGGGCTTGCGCAGGTTGCAAAACAACAAAAGCAGAAAACACAGCCTACAATTAGTTGTTTAAAAAGGGGGTGCTTCCTAAACCCACATGCACACTTTCCAATATTGGAATGGGGTGAAGATGGGAGGTGCAATTTCATAAGACCTGCTTTTAGAACTTGGTTTTGTTTCTGTCCAGCTTGCAGTAATTATGGCAGTAATATTCCAGCTACTCTTGGAAAAGAGTATCTTCCAAAAGTAATTCCATCCTTCTCTCTTCCCCTGCCTTCATGGATCTGCCTTTGAATCTGATGTTTTAGAGTCTACCACTACACCAGAATGCTCATTAATGCTGTTAGGCAAAGTAACTGCTGGGTATTAATCTCTTGGAGACTGGACCATTTACCTGTCTGGACCTGTCTTCTCCCTACAGCTCACTAGCTGAAACCAATACCAAGGACACTGTGTCCTTCAATTCAATTACAGAAAGCTCTGGGCCATAATGCTGAAAGGATCCACTGCTTGAAACATTTCTGCATACAATGCACATGGGCTCACGCTATTGTGGTGTCTCTTTGTGTCGGGATGCAATGTTTCCTTGTGTCCCTGGGTCATGGAAATGAACTGCAACAGGGGTGATGCATCGCCTAGCTCCCATGGGCCACATTCGCAGACCAGTCCTTGTGCCTTAGGGAGCTTCACAGTGCATGGCATGGGCAGCCCAGGGTGGTGGCTCAGATTGCCATAGTCATCAGCTAGGCCCTCGTAGCTGGGTGTGGGCCCTTGGGAGAAGGCTGATAGTGTGTGTTCAAGGGCAGTGGAGAGGACATTAGAGCAGGGGTGGAGCAGAGTTCATCCTGTGTGATTACAGGGTGAGGTTTATGTCCTCCACCAGACTTTAAAAGGTCTGGTGGAGAAGGCACTGAGGCTCTGCTTCCGGGGAGGCTCCAGGTTTGGGGCGTGGTTGACCTCAAATCCCAGAGGGGCTGGGAGGCGCCTACAGGTACAGGCATTCGCCAGCCTACAACTTCTCTGAAGGTGTATTTGTGCACTGGACAGGGAGGGCTTTGTTTTGTTATCTGGTAGCACCCTTAATGTTTGGGCAGAGCTTGCTTTCCCCATAACCTGAAAGCTTTCTGGTGAGCATGCTCTATGGGAAGGGCTCTCTTCTCCCTGCAGAGTATTCCAGCCAGTACTCATCTGCAACTGGAGATCCCTTTGGAGATCCTAAATGGAGCATTGAATTGTTGTCATGGTTACCATGGGACAGTTTCTGAGGCCAGATATTTTTTCCAAGGAGGGCAGTCCTGGGCTGTGTATCCTGGGTTTCTGAGTGGGCGACAAACCTAAGAGAACTGAATCCCTCTTCCTTCTCTCCTGCCTCCAGTACCAAACAAGGAAACTGACTAATGTCTACAGTGATCTTCCTGGCTGCAGCCCGGCCCTGCCCAAACCTACTGCCTGCTGGATTTAGTCCTAGAAGATCAGGCTGACCTGGAAGCACCTGACTGTGGCTCAGGGTGTGGTTCCTCCTCCTACAGATCAAAGACAGGCTCCCAGATTCTGTAGTGCATGTAACTGCTTCTGTGTGAAAATGCTTGTGAAATAATTCTCTGCACTTAATATGCTGATAGGGAATCGACTTTTTTGAACACCTCCGATCAGCCTAGTACTTCTGTGCCTCTCATATCATTTACAAACCTAGTGAGAGTGGTGGTGGTGGACACACTATCCACGCTTTATGAGGAAGGAAGGTTTGTAGAAGTGATGCCCAGTGCTGCACAATGAGGAAGTAGCAAACCCGAGGTTCAAATTCATGGCTGTTTGGTTCTAAGGTAGTCCCTTTTCCTTTTAAGTCATAGCTGCCACTGTAGCTACTGAGAAGAATTGGTACCTTCAAGAGACCCTCTGCCATCTACTGGGAATCCATCCATTCATTCAATAAACATGTCTGGAGTCTCTCTGTGCCTGATCCACTCCTGGTCACTGGGGCATAAGGACAACTCAGACATAACCTATGCCCTCAAGAAACTAACCTACTGACAACCATCAATAATATAATTAAAAAAAAAAAGAATCTACAAGATGCTAGAGGGAGGGAAGGAGGGGAAATCATTCTGGAGGAAACACCACCTGGCTGAACCAAGTAGGTCTCAAGGCATGTCCAGTGGTGGGAAATAAAAACCAAACCAAAACAAACAAACAAACAAACAAAAAACACCAGAGTAATATCCAATCTCTGTGCTCTAGTAACTCATAGAATTACAAAGACAAGACTCATACTTATGGTACAATGACAGAGAATCTCTGATTAAGACTGAGGCACATAAATTGGGGCCATTGCAGGAAGGATACAGAAATGACAATGAAGGCACTTTTGCTTATAGGATTCTTTTTAAACTGCTATATATTTTCCTCATTAATTTTTCCATAGTCATTTCTACACTGATTCCCCCCTCACCCCCTCCCGCTTTGTTTCTTTTTCATTTCCTGCTAAAGGAAAACAATTCTTCAACATTAAGGCTTGTGCCAAGAGCAAAACTATCTCARGCCCTGATGGTGACCATAATGCTGGGAATGTACAAGATGAAAATGACACTCAGAACTGAGCAGCAAACAACCTACATGATAGAAATTTGAGATGTGAGCCCCAAGTCAAATAGTATAAGGAATGAAATTAATTCAGATTCGAAAATAATAGCTGTCACTTAGGAAAGACTCCATTGTCGCTGTCCGTCCATTCAAGTCTTCAGGATTCATTCACTAATGCCTCCTATCTATAATGCCTACTCCTCCAAGATCTCATAGTCCAGCACAGGTCTGAGAGACATAGACTATTACTATATAGTGTGATAAGCAAGACTGAGATGTGCATAGGCCCGTGGACACGCAAGAGAGAGAATTTAGAAAGCAGAGTTGGTGGCTTTCGAACTGACCTCTAAAACCAGGAGTTTGGCAAGCAGAGATAAGAGTAAAGGACACATAGAAAGGCACTTAAGAGTATACTCAGAGGGAGATGAGGCATTAAAGATATGCCGCCCACAAGGTGAAAAGGAACCAGACCTAGTCTGGCCTTTATCCTGAGTTAATGTGCAGACATAGAAGAGATATGAGCAGAGGACCATGATTAAATTTTCCTTTAGGAAATGTCCCTCCGCAATGCGTTAGGCTAGACCAGCACCAGCGAGACGACGGCAGCCACGCTGCTTACCGCAGCTACAGCTCTAAGACAGCATGGGAGAGTTGGGGGTGGGGGGTGGGGGATGGTGGTGAGGGGAGAATCCATCACAAGGTCCACATTCTGGGCAAGGACCTACGCAGAGCCGGGCACCGCACAGCTGCTGGGAAGACGCGCTTCCTTATCCTGATCCCTCTGGGGCGGAGCTCGGGCCAGAGCACGTGACGCCTGGGGCACCACCTTTACTAAGGGCAGTCCTCTCGTTCATCGGCCGTTTGGTAGATATACACTTCGCTCTCCAACACCTTGACTTTATGCCACAGAATGCGAGAAGCCCATTCTCTCCCAAGTGTCCCTGGATAATCCTCCTTCAGAGCCTGTTTCGGGAAGATAAACATCGAAGGGGCCCTTTGCCCATATAAAAGATGGCGGCTTGCTGCGCCGTCTCTGGGTTGGGGGACAGGTTCTAGGCGCCCGGCCTCACTGGGCGAGGCGCAGACGGAAGGGGCGTCTCTCCAGGCAACTTTTTGACCTTCCTGGGAGGGTCTCCGCGCCCAGGAGGCGGGGCTGGGTCTGCTCGCTAGCAGCGCATTGGTCTTCCGGAAGGTGGGCGGGGCTTAAGCGGCGCTCCACCCCTCCCTCCTCGAACCGGAAGTGTCTCTTGGTCTTTCCAGCTGGTTGTCATTTCACTCGGCTCGGTCCTGAGGAGAAGGACTCAGCCGCGGCTGCTGGACCCGGGCACCGGGAGGCGGCGGCGGCGACAGCAGGGAGGAAGAGGAGGAAGAAGGAAAGAAAAAGAAGAGCCAGGCGGAGTCCGCAACGACGACAGCTGGGACTGCGGGACCGGGGTAGAGCGGCGGTGGCGGCGGCGGCGACAACGACGGCCCAGCAACCGTGAGGAGAAACAAAAGCCTTCTAAATTATAGTTTAAAAAAAACCCGGGGGAGCCGAGAGAGCGCCGGGGGGGAGGCCTTTCTCTGTAGTCTACCTGCCGTAGTGGGGTTTTCCTTCCTCCCCGCCCCCCCACCCCTGCGGAGAATCGAACTGGGAGAACTGAACAAACCGCCCCTGGGTCCCATGAGGGAGAAAAACCCCGGAGCCGCAGAGAGGGGAAGAGGCAGCAACCGCAGGACCTGCCCGCTCGCCCCCGTGGTCCGCGCACCCCCGGGCCGCCCGCTCGCCCTGTCCCGCTAACCCCTCCCGATCTCAACCCGAGAGGGGCAGACGCGGGTTTCCAGCCCCTTTCATGGGGGAGAGGAGGCCGGGGGGAGCCCGAGAACAGCGACCGCAGCAAGATCTGCACCCGGAGCCTCGGGAACAGCCCCGGAGGCCAGAACTGCGCCCAGCGAAGGAACAGAGACAGGACCAGGAACAGCAGAAACCTCCCTGCAATCGTCTTTCCATTAGTCAATGCTGATTTTCTCTCCCGCAATCAAGAATTCACCTCCCGCCCCAGATAACCTAATATAATCTATATATATAAATATATAATATATAATGTTCTTAAATTATTCCTGATTTTTTTAACCAAGCTGCCAAGAAGAGAAGAACGTATTCTCCCCCTTAGCACTATTCTAATTTTTATGTGAGTGAATCTAAACTGCTGAGGAAGACCATATGTGATTGTTAAATTATATATATATATATATATATACATATATATATTTTTACTCCGAGCAATGCTTATTCTTCTACATCCATAGATGCTTGAGAAGCTGTGTTTTTGTCATTCATGTGTATTTTCCTTTGGAAAAAGAAAGCGCCTATTTTACTAACCAAAGACTTGATTTTTACCCTCTTCGTTTTTATTCCCTCCTAGAAATCAGCCCAATTGGATTCATGTCAATATTATAAGAGATTATTTTTAGTTGCTTTTTTTCTTCTTTCAGAGAGAGACCAGAATTCCAAATCAGAGCTACTTAGGGTGATAAGCTACGATCTTTGAGCTAGCTATAAATAAGATATTTCAAGCAAACAAACAAGCAACTTAAATTGGAGTAGAGGAACAAAAACGGTGTGAGACATCAGGTTGTGTTTTTTTTTTTTTTTGTGAGATTCTGATCCTAAAAATAATAAATGGGGGATTACGGGTTTGGAGTGCTAGTGCAAAGCAATACTGGGAACAAATCTGCTTTTCCAGTCCGATTCCATCCACATCTGCAACCTCCACACCATCACCAGAATGCCACCCCCAACCCTGCTGCTTTTATAAATAATAACACAGCTGCCAATGGCAGCAGTGCTGGGTCAGCTTGGCTCTTTCCTGCTCCAGCTACCCATAACATTCAGGATGAGATCTTGGGGTCAGAAAAAGCCAAAAGTCAGCAACAGGAACAGCAAGACCCTTTAGAGAAGCAGCAGCTCTCCCCGAGTCCAGGTCAGGAAGCTGGAATACTGCCTGAAACGGAGAAGGCAAAGTCTGAAGAAAACCAAGGGGACAGTTCTTCAGAAAACAGCAATGGGAAGGAGAAAATACGAATTGAATCACCAGTTTTGACAGGGTTTGATTATCAAGAAGCCACAGGGCTAGGTACTTCGACCCAACCCTTGACATCGAGTGCATCCTCTCTTACTGGTTTCAGTAACTGGTCAGCAGCCATAGCGCCTTCTTCATCTACAATAATCAATGAGGATGCAAGTTTCTTTCACCAGGGAGGGGTCCCTGCTGCTTCAGCTAATAATGGTGCTCTGTTGTTTCAAAATTTCCCCCATCATGTCAGCCCTGGCTTTGGAGGCAGCTTCTCCCCTCAGATCGGGCCTCTCTCACAGCACCACCCTCACCACCCTCATTTCCAGCATCATCACAGCCAGCATCAACAGCAGAGGAGGTCTCCTGCCAGCCCCCACCCGCCTCCCTTCACACACAGGAGTGCTGCTTTTAACCAGCTGCCTCATTTGGCGAATAATCTTAACAAACCCCCCTCTCCGTGGAGCAGCTACCAGAGTCCCTCTCCAACCCCGTCATCTTCCTGGAGCCCAGGAGGTGGTGGATACGGAGGCTGGGGAGGCTCCCAGGGCCGAGATCACCGCAGAGGGCTGAATGGTGGAATAACACCCCTGAACTCCATCTCACCTTTGAAGAAAAATTTTGCAAGCAATCACATTCAGCTCCAGAAGTATGCTCGTCCCACCTCTGCCTTTGCTCCAAAATCCTGGATGGAAGATAGCTTGAACAGGGCTGACAATATTTTTCCTTTTCCGGTAAGATTATGTTCCATTAATAGATTAAGATGAATAAGGAAATAGCATGGTGTAATATCTCTGGAACTAAAGAGTTCGAATTGTCCATATTCACCTCAGAGCTCTTCTTAGAAAATGAAGACTTTATCAGAAGAGTGTAATTTGGAACAAAATGTTCAGCTGATTCTTTGGCAATTTTCTAATTATAGCCTTAATTTTTCCATAGATAATTATGCATACCAGGTAGCTAGTGATGTCATGATTATTAACTATAGTATCTTTCTTGCCTGACAAGAGAAATTAGGGTCAGTTTTCCCTGCTTAGTTAGGTGAGAACAAACAATATATAAATATAAATGTATTTCATTATAGAAGCCAATGAATATTTTCTGTCCATATGAAGTAACTGTGTAACTTTAAAAAAAATTTCTTTTGACACTGTTAAGATAGTGATTCACTGAAAATTGACTATTGAATTCCAGTTTTCTCACTAGGTTGTATTTTAAACCTGGACAGTCTTATTCAGTCAACACGTAATTCCTCTCAGACCTCTGCAAATTCTGGCCCGTCTTGTGTCAGTAAGGACTACTTGTGAGAGAGGTGATCTAAAGTGTAATTTGATCACCATTTTTGTTTTATTTTTTGTGGTGCTGGGGATTGAACCCGGGTCCTTCTCCTCCAGCAGGCTAATAATTTCTTTTGAATACTATGAAACTGTTAATCTCATGGTGACTTTTTTTTTTTTTTTTTTTTTTTTTTGATGACGCCTTTCACCCATTTGTTTACTTTCCAGTGTTAACACTAGGGGTGTAGATAATTAAACCATTCCTAAAAATAGATGCAGGCAAAGATCACTTGTCTTTCTTGCTACCAGTATATCCTGTCTCTGGCAAGAGTCACATTGTTGGACGTTTTGAACTAATGAGCAGCCAGTTTAGTTGATAGAAACAAGATAAAGGAAATTTCATCATTAGTTGAGTATCACATGCCTCATTAAATTTTTATACTTTGGGAGTATGATCATTTATGTATGTTTAGAAAAGTTAGGTGGTAAGATAACATTGAGTCAGTCATCACAACAGCCCTACAAGGTAAGTTCTATTATTATCCCCATTTTACAGATAAGGAAATTATAGCTGCTATGGGTATGAATTCTAGGTTAAAAAACAAGGATTAAAAATATGTGACCGTGTGTGTAATACAGACACGCATGTTGCAACTGGAGGGTTATTTAGAGCTCTTTCTGTAAGGGACAAAACAGTACAAAATAGTTGTAGTGTTCTCAAATTCAATGTTAGCATAAGCCTAAATATGTTTTTATTAGTAACTATTTAGTGGGACGGGAAGTTTGCCAAGAGAATCCTGTTATTCTGTGGAATTAAATATGTGTTTCTACCCTAAGAATTCAGGTACAATGTAGCTTAAAATATTTAGTTAAATTTAGTTTTAGATTTTAAAAAATGCTTGTGTTGCCTGTTGAGCAGCTGTTGACATTTGCTTTTAGACACCATTTTTACTCAAAATAAAGAGGAATTATGTTTTAGTGGTCAGATAAATGGCTGTGTAAGACATTGACAGTCCTATAAGGTCTATTTATAAAAAGTTGCTCTTGATATTCCTTTGAACATAAATTTAAAGGAAATGTAATGGAAAGGTAACATCTATGAATTATTTATGTATTGCTAATTTTAAAAATCCAAGGTGGCATTCTATAGCTTTTAACTGAATTAAAATTTGGCTCAGAATTAAACATAATTTTCATTCTTAATTTGCTATTATACGATGACAGAATGAAATTTATGCAAACTCATGATTGTTTTCTCTCATTCTCAGCTTCTTGACTTATGATAAAGATTTGCTTTGGGAAAAATAAAAAGTTCAGAGAATGAATTAAATATGCACATGTGTACATTAATATTTTTCTGTGCGGGGTTAATGGAATATTTAATGTGAAATCTTTTTGATCAATTTCTTTGGAGATTAAGCTGATTTATAAAATAATAGGCTAATACTAAAAGATATTCTTAGAAACTAACCCTTCCCTTGTCTATTTTGTTGAGAATGGAAAAAGGTCAAAGTACATGGCTCAAATATGGTAGGATAGATTTAGAAAGTAAACTGCTCATTTCTGCTCTCTTTCATCACCAGTTTTAGGAGTGTGTGTGTGTGTGGGGGGGTGTGTGTGGCTGGGAGAGACAACAAACCGGGGGGTGATTTGAAAGTCACAAGAGAAATAAGTAATATAAGAAAAAATCTCTATACAAAACAACTCCTAGTTGAAATTTGAAAAAAGTTCATAAGAAGTAAATAAACTTAGGACTGTGGTGCTTGCTTAAATGAATGCAGTTTGCGCGCGCGCGCGCGCGCGCGCGCGTGTGTGTGTGTGTGTGTGTGTGTGTGTGTGTGTGTGTTTTAAACAATAATTCTTTTGAACTACTTTTTGGCAAAAAGTGCTCTGGGTTGATATAAATTGCGTGGTTAAATTTGATATGAAAAGACTGGAAGGAACATTTCTTTGACTGGACCCAGGAGACCTAGGTTGAAATCGTGGCTCTATCAGTAGCAGGATTGTGAGGCCTCAGTTTCTTCATGAAGTGTGGAGGTGACCCAGGTGATCCCTAAAGTTCCTTATGATTCTAAAGCAGCCTACTGTGAAACTTCAACTGGGTGACTGTAATTCATCTTTTTTTTCTAAACATTCCTGGCTTATTTAAATTTATAACTTGAGCACTAATAATTTTAGGAAAGAAAGTTTATAGATATTAGTTATTAAATTTCAATTGCTGCTGAAAAGAATTCCTAAGATGTTATGGAGAGATCTTGAAGTATATTACAGAAATTATAGGCTAGAGTTTAATATGGTTACATTATAATATTGATATTCAACCAGAGATTAGCATGGAATTGTTATATTAAAGGGAATTATGTCCCTGAAATGTAACTGTTACTGGGCAATGTTTATTTTAATTTGAAAAGAACCAGAATTATTTCTATCTTTGTTTACTGCAGGCTTGGGTACACATAGAGAATTAAAATTAATGATGACATTTTTAATTAGTTTTTTGTCTAATCTCAACATTTCCTTTTATCCATGGTTATAACGCATGAGAAGATTCCAAATATGTGAATAATGCTCCCTCCAATAACTTATATGCAAAGGCATTGCATTTTAGATTTTTTTTGTATTAAAATGTATTTATAGGCTATTTTTGCTTAGCCTAAAACTTCATTGTATGAATTCAGATGGCATGCCTCAAATCCTATTTTCCGGCATATTAAAGTAGTATGCATCTAATGAGAGCTAAGGTGCCTGCTCGGTTCTAAGGGTTTGACACATATTAACACATTTAATTCATTCAACAGTCCTGAGGTAGAAATTATTATTACTCACACATAAGAATCAACTCTTAACCACTGTGCTAAAGCATTGTGTACCCTCAAGTCATTATAACATAGGCAAGTTTGGGGATGAGGAGAGAAGGTCTCCAAGAAGTGTGGAAGGTGGAAGAAAAACTTTTACAACCTTTACAAGTGTTGAACAAAGCTGATTGTAGGGCTGTAGGTCCTCTGGAGGCCTGAGGTGGAGGGCCACTTGAGCCTAGAGTTTCAGATCAGCCTGTGCAATATCGACAGACCCTGTCTCTTAAACCAAACAAACAAACATAAAAGCTGATTGCAGGGTTTTGAGAGTGAAAAATAATAGGTTATATTTGTTTATCAACTTTAAATGTTAAACTAAGATAATGTTCAAGTCAGTACTTTTGTTTTTAATTTTGAGTGGTTGCTATATACCAGGTACTGGGCTAGGTGCTTTCATGTGTAGAATGTATCAACACTGTGACTTTTGGTTTTATTGACTGATTCCAAAAGGAAAAAAAAAAAAACAAAAAAACCAGGGCCCATATTCTTGTGAGTACAGGAATGATTTGATCCTTACATTAAGGGGGGGAAAATCCTGTCTTGCCAAACTGATTCTGGAATTCTGGTGACCAAATCAAATAGTGAATTAGGACAACTGCCAACAATGATGTTTGAATATAGCACCACTTTAGTGGGATGCTTAGGTCCCTTGTCTTTGCAGGAAAGTAGAGGAGAGTTGCCTAGTTTGTATGCTGACACTCTGTTATCTACTGCTTAATTGTGCTCTTGCTTCTATTAGCTAAGAACTGGGAAGTCAAACACGTCTCTTAAAAAGATTAACCTAAAACTGAATGGTAGGAAATACTTTAGGACTTAGAACCAGCCCCATTTGCCCTTACTTTAGACCCAGGTACCACAGATTTGTCAAGTTGTCTTAACTAGGCAAGTAATTCTCATCACTTTAATTTAAACTCTCCTCATGTTGTCAGTTTATTGATGCTTAAATTCTGTACCACATCTTCTATTTGCAAACAAAGTCGCAGCAGTGTTTTAGTTCTGACACTCATAGTGAATTGTTGGAACCATCTCAACATGCAATCTCATTCCATTTTATTTTTCTTAATATAATCCCAAAAGGAATTTTTGCATAGGAAACATTTTCTTTGACTTAGAAAGGGGAGAAACTAACTTTCTGACTTGCAAATATGGGTTGAGAATTGAGATTCTGAAGAAACTTTGGGAAAAGCCTCCACATAAGATTTCCTCCCTCTTTGTAGATTTATTTGTTTTTCTGATGGAGTGGGAATGATCTTAGGATAGATTTTTTTTTTTTTTTGTATTCTATTTTGTCTTTGGAGAAACTGTAGAATATGGTCAACACATTGTTCCAACACCTTTCAGGAAAAACCTGTTTATTGCCTTCTTGGTGAAGGTGATGATTGCTAGTTGCAAGTAGAAAGATGCTTTCTAGTCATGAGGTTAAGATTTGGGAGTAATCCTTATTGGTGTTTGTGAAAAGAAATGGGAAAGGTGCCCTTAACTTGTGCCTAGATTTGAATTTTCCTGTCTAAATTCATTTCCTGTGTGATTTTTCTCTTCAGATAGTAGGAAAATAATCTTGGAAGCTCTATTACCACATTATTTTTAGCAATGTGTTATACT